CGACGGCGTTGGCGAGGGGTGCCGGACAGAGAGGGGCCCCCGGACACAGACGTGACAACGGCGCAGGCCGCGGCGATCAGGCGCCCCGAGTGCGCGGCTAGCCCCGGCGACCTGGCGGCGGCGGCGCGACTGCTGGGAGATCTCGGGGAGGCGGCCACGGCGGCGGTGACCGGGGCGGGGGGCGCCGCAGGCACGGATGGCGTGGTGGTACCTTCGCAGGTGACGTGCTTGCTGTCGGGGTACGAGTGCTTGCCGCGGTACATAGCACCGGCGACGGCAGCCGAAACCTGGTGGTGGGGGGGCGGGGCGGGACGTGGTCAGGTAGATGAGAAGGGGGGCAGAGATGGAGATTGTCTTGCTCAAGGCTATGGAGGCCCTATTGACTGCGCGGTTGAGGGCTTGGCCTGGTATTCGAGAACGAACGAAGCGAGAGAGCGCGCGCGCGCGCGGGGGGGGGGTGACAAGGGACGTGCTGTTTCGTAACCTTGTGTCGATACTGGTGGTGCTGATACCTGATGTGCCCTTCACTTGAAGTGTTGTGGATAACGTGCTTGGAGTCAGTGCCATACGAAAGTCCGGGAGCGGGTCGGAGAGCGGGGGCAAGGTCAAGGGCAAGGCAAATATCGTGAAAAGTTGATGTGGTGTCGTCCGGCAGGGAGGTATTTCCGAGTGCAATCCTGACACGTCATGTACACTGCCGTACTTTTCCCGCGGGGTGATTTTTCGTGTTGGTGTGGGACGTGTCTGGGAGAGTTACAATGCGGTATTCCAAGCACGCCGTTGCGCCCCCCGACCAACCGACCGCAACACCGCCGCTCGGCCGCCACAGGTGCGGGACCTCGGCCCCGACGAGGATGGCAGTCACAACGGTCGAGGCCGCGGACACGACCGCGACTATGGCCCGGATGGTGATGAACGGCGGTGGCAGCAGCGAGAAGAAGAGCTAATGATCGCGAGGGACGTGGAGGCTCGGCTAGGCGCGATGGCGGTGTACGCCATGAATCGCTTCGGCGAGGGCGCGGCGCCCGTGCTTGACGAGTGGAAGAGGCGCTTTCCTGACCGGCCTCTGCTCTTCGTGCTCGGAGGGGGTGGGCGTTAGGGGTTGTTGTTTTGGGTCTCTTCCTCTTTGGCTCCTCGCTTGGTTAGGGACGGCTGTGGTGGTGGTGTTGGTGGTGGTTGCGCTGTGCTTTTGTGCTGGTCCTGGCGGTACTGCTGGCGTTGGCGTTGTTGCCATCCGGACACTGGCAACAGAGAGAGAGAGACCGGTAGCGGGAGATACAAGATACATATATATATATATAGAGAGAGAGAGAGAGAGAGGGAGAGAGAGAGAGAGAGAGAGAGAGAGAGAGAGAGAGAGAGAGAGAGAGAGAGAGAGAGAGAGAGAGAGAGAGAGAGAGAGAGAGAGAGAGAGAGAGAGAGAGAGAGAGAGAGAGAGAGAGAGAGAGAGAGCCTTTGGTGACTTGTCAATGCTTCAAACTTCCGTACCTGACCTGTAGTGACATTTGTACGTAGACGCGCAAGATATGTCATTTGGAGTGATGAGGGCTTTTCGAGCGTCCTAACTTTGCGGGTGAGGTTTTCAGAATGTACTATACTGCTATACATGTACATGGTCTCACGTCTCACCGGAAGACTATAATACATACCCTTTCGAGATAGTCTACAATACACCGGTGGCCACTCGGCTAACCTTGGGGACCCCTTGGCAAGGTGGTCAACCCTGTAGGCACCCTGTGGAGGGGTTGCACAGGGTGCATAGCGACTACAAGGTACCGGAAAGGACCTTGGTAAGGTCTTCGAGGTTGTGGGGGGTCGAGGTCCATCATCCCATTCTACCTTGCACCTTACGACACCCTGGGGTAGGTTCTCGTCCATACCCTGTTAGGGTCGGGGTGTTAGCAAGGTGGGGGGCTCGGGTCTTGGCAAGGTGCTGCGCCGTGCTAGGGTTGCCAGTCATGAACCTGCTACACATCACCACCCCCTGTACGGGTTGGGTCATGGGGCCTTGTCAGGGTTGCGCCTCCTACAAGGTAGTATGGGTTACACAGGGTTGACAATGAAGACCTTGGGCTACCCCCCCCCCCCCTGTGCGGGGTGAAGGGGACATCGCCCTGCCATCATTTTATGCCTTGGCAAGGTTAAGGGTTGCGACAGGGTTGAGAAAGGAGTCCTTGGGCACCCTCTCCCCCCGGGGCTCCCCCCCCCCTGTCCCACCCCTGTACGGTGATTTTGAGGGTTAGGGGTTCGATAACGACCGATCGATGAAGTTGGGGCCCTCTCTACCTAGTATGCGTAGATGCGGGGAGAGGCGAGGAGGCAGCACGTCACACAGAGGCGAAATTGCTGCCCCACTCGTAGTAACTGGTGTATGATGTAAGTGTGCTCTCGAACGAGAGTATATATATATATATAGTATAGCGCGCGGCCACGGTGCTATCATCAGCATCATCGTTGCTTCATATATATATATAATACATCCATCCATAGGATAGATCTTTCCAACATTGTAGTTCCACGAACTGTGTTAAGTTCGACAAAGAAGGTAATGCAAACAATACAAATCCAGCTATATGCACTGAGCGTTCTCCAAGCCCTACAATAGGCTTTTTTTATGACCCCTTAGATTTTTGGGTCACTCAGACACCTACGATAACACGACAAGGAGCTTTCTCGCATAGGGACGAAAAATAACGAAATAGGTGTGCACGCAACGCCAACAACGATGATGATGGTGCTTAGCTACTCGTGCAAATCCGAACCAATGTGCCTCTCGTCGTGCGCACCTATCACCACCCCCCCCACCCCCATCTCGTCGTGATGTCATGATGTACTTGGCGTCCTTGATGGAGCTCCCTTCTTCTCACGCGTGACACCGAACCACATATGTCCAGGGCGACATCCATCCAGTACGCGCGAAGGGGGCTGGCTGTCGTTAACGAGAGGAGTACGCCCTTCGACACGACGGCTTCGCGGGGGAGAGAGACACACAGTGGCAGAGGGGGGCGGGGGGTTATACAGTACCGAAGTCGACAGAGGATGCTGTACATATTAGCCGCGATGGTCGTGTTGTTTGTTTGTTAGTCGGGACGAGCTTGTGATGGGGAAGGAGACGTCGATTTTAAAGGAGTAAGACGTATACATATACCCATACAGACGAAACAGATCGGAATAGAGTACAAGGTCTCGTCACCAGGCGCTAGTTTTGGGAGTGGTGCAAATGTACAGCAGAGAGAGGGCAGATGCGTCATGACAAAACTCCCACCTTACGTCGCTGCTGTCAGGTGAACGTATCTTGGAAGATGCTGTGATGGTGCTCGTTCAAAAGATACTTGTCGTACTCGGTCGACAACGGGTCAGACAACTTGTATGTGTGTCTCCAAACTTGGCCACCGCCTGTCGATGATGGGGTAATGGAGCATGTCCGCCTCGATGAGGCGCGTACCTCCTTGCCCTGCGCATCGACTTCCTTGCCGTCCGAGTTGACTGCTACGGGACACAGGTGGTAGAGGTGTACGTGTCGCCTGATAGCTGACACAGGCCAGACCGATGGACGCCCCCTCCCGCGTAGCAGCATGGTAGGATGCTGTGTCACCCCGTCCGGTCGGCGTTTATTTCCAGCGCCGGCCGAAACATACTCGAACCCTAAGACGAAGTCCGTCGACGGGCGGTGGAATCCTTTGATGTCTCTGTTTCCAACATGTCGGAAAAAGCAGACGATCTTCACCATAGTCAGAGTGGATACATCGGGGTGGTCGTCGTACGGGGGCTTCCCCTTGTGGACCTCCACATCCTCGCCAGACCCCGCCCCGAAAACCCACTCGTCCGGTGGGTTGGAGGAAGCTGCTGCTCGCGCGTCCCCCCCTTTCCAACGCCCGCTGCCGCTGCTGCTCCTCGCAGAGGCGGTGTGATTGAATCTAGAACACGAAGCTGTGTCGCTGTCCAGCGTTAGTGGGTTCGTCCAACAGAAGGGACAGCGACTGTCTACGCAACGCTCTGGTCGAGACCGCCGCCCGCATCCGTAGTAGGTTTTGTACGCCGTGACCACCTCTGCACGGCCTGGACGAAAGCGTCCCGTAGATACGACCTCCTGCCAAGACCCTGCGCAATTCGTTGGTTGTCCGGCCTCAGCAAGAAGAGTTGCCCCCCAAAGTGCCGAACCCTGATGGGAGCCTGCTAACATTGATGTAGTTGGCTCCGATGCAGCCGAAAGGTCGCTTGGGTCCCCTAGTCCTCCCGGCAGTCCTCCCGGAAGCTCTTTCATCAACTGTTGTACGACTCGGATACAGCCAACTCCGGGGCGAACGGTGACCTCCTCTCGATTTTTTGTCGAGCGGTTGTACTTCATCACAGAGTATGGTAGGCCGTTCGCCATGGCATGCCATGCGCACATGGTATTCATGTGACGCATATAGTGCGCTGGGACGTCTCTCCCGCTGCTAGATTTGTTTCCCCTCTTGTGTTTCTGGTGGGCGAATTCCCCGCTAGAGGCGTTGGGCATATGTCCTGACGCGTCGGCAGAAAAGAAGGAGGCAATTGGGTATGGAAAATATAATGAGACCTTTTTCATGGTGTTGGCACAAAAGATGTACAGTGCTACACGACGTACTTATTTGGAGGGACGTTCGCCCGTACATGCAGACGTTACGGTGACGCCTCCATGTAGAAGTAAAAATACCACAAACTCACCGTGGTTATTCACAGCATCCGAGTAGTGGAGGATGCTGTGCATTGAAGGCCTCACGCCGTCCCTCCCGATAACTTGCTTCGCCGTGTGTACCTATAGATGCGCAAGAAAATTAAATTACAAGACATCAAAAGAGAGGGGGCGTCGGGGGCAGTGTAAAGGTACCACACCTGAACGGCATCCCAAACGAGGGAGGCCACGATGAGGCTTCAAGGGTCTTGGCGTTGTGCAGACTACACCCGTCAAGAAAATTTATGTCCCACAAGCAATATTTGAGCATGTGAGGTTAGTTTACGAAAAAAATAACGGAGTAATCATACGTCGAAGAGGGGATATGTGGGTAATATGCCCACACTCACAGACCATTCGTTAATACATGAAGCCACGTCTCGTCTTATCTCACCATATCTAGCGCATGCGTGTGTAGCTGTTTTAGTTCCTCATCGTTGTGGGAAGGCGCTCGAACTGCAAACGACAACGCAGATGCGGATTGCACGAGCGTCAGCATTCCCTCCCACGCGGCGTTTTGCCCTCTCCACTCTGAGACCAGAGTCTTCATGAAGTCCTGTTTAAAGTGTTTCGCCTGTTGTGGGTGGGCAGAGAGATAGAAGGGGTAGTTAGAGAGAGAAAGAGAGCCGAGACAAAGAAGAATTTCAATTTGCACGCGGAACGTAAAAGAAGCGGATGAAGTGGTGGCGTAGCAGACTATTATATATATTCTATTTCTCATGGAAGGGCGACGACCTTAATAACCTAATCAGGTCTTCTGAGCACACACGCGGTCTCACCATGGACCACGAGCTTTGAAGAACCGGTCGAAAGACAAGCAGCATGATGGAGGACAACAGCCACTTATTGCTGCCCGTCAGGGAAGAGTAGTTGGTGACGATATCCTTTAGTGGTGCCTCGCGTGGTGGATACAAAGCGTGACCGTGCTCCCTGATGATGGCGGACACGAGTTTCCGGCCCGCCGGATTCAATCTCGTCAGGATGAAACTCTGAACGAGGGACTGGACGTTCTACGTCGCGCAAAACGATGACACACACGTTAAAGAAAACAGAGGAGGAATGTGCATGCCAAATATTATTACGACGGAGCACAAGTAGACATCAGACAAAAAAATACATAATAATCTCTCGCACGAACATAAACACGTAGGTACGTTAAGCCACGGCCCTCATCACCCTTTCCATGCACTCGCTTCCTCCACGGCGACATCGCGCGAACGCGACTCCCGAATGCCTTTTTTCTCCACGCGGCGACGTCATTTTGTTCTCATGAGGGTTTTTAGCCCAGGTGTGATGTCGCCCGATGATACAATAATATTTGTATATACACTCTCAATTACCCGAACTTACCAAGGCATCCGCATGCAGGCTTTCGACTGGGGTTGCCTTGAGCGCATCGATCTTGACGATGTCGTGCAATGGCCATATTGGTTGTTCCGGTACTGGAACCGCCACACCGAGTGGCGTGGGGGCCAACTCAGCAAGAGTACGTCTCCCCCTCAAAATCTGTCCTCTCGTTCTCCGATTCGATTCTATGTCATACTTTGGTGACCCCAACTCTCCACCGTCGTCTCCAAATTGCCCCACGAGGCAGTAAGGGCACGGATGCAAGGTGGAAGCGTTGGGATGCTTGCAGTATAGAATGAGCGCTCGTTGTGGCGAGCCTGCCACGATCAGCAACACCCCGCCTCGGACAAACACCTGCTGAAGCCGAACGCACGAAGAGGATGTTATTCGGTTGGCCAGAGCAAATGCAAACGCGCGTGATTTGGGCATGTGTAATGAAGTACCGACTGTTTTTTTAGGCAGCGCCCAACACAGCACGACGCTATTCTTAGTTGATACATTTGTTGTGCTTGTGGACATGAGAATACATACTGAGAGGAAAACGATATATATATAAGCACCACAAGCGACATGCCCCGAAGGTATGGGGTTGACGCACCTCGACTTCCTTCCACCTCCCATTCCGATCTTGCACAAAAGCTCTGGCGATGCACCCCTTTTCAAGTTCATGCAGAATCTTGCATTGCAGAAGCATTTCCCCCTCGCACGACGCCCCCGGAGAAGAGACTGTGGCAACGTGTATCTCTAATTTCCTTCTCTGCAGAGCTAAGCTATTCCACGCCCAGCTCAGGTACGTCCCTCCCACCGATTTCTTGTTTCCGAGACCGTGGGCATTAAATCCATCGATGTGGTAGTTGACTGGCACGCTCACAAACGGCCTGTTCGAGACGTTGTGAAAGTATCCATCCCCGCGGATGGTATAAAGCGGTTCATCCAGAGTGCCCTCCAGCGTCCACGGCTCGGACCGTTGGTATGGCGGCGATGTGGATGATGCTGCGCCACCGGGTGCGTTTCGCTTCCGGTTTCCGCCTCGTTTTTTGGCAGGAGTAACAAACGCCACACCGACACAAGCTAACGGTTGTATGTCGCACACACGTTCCCCTTCTTTCCAGTCCGGGATTCTGTCTTGGCGAGCTTTGACGTCGGCTTCCGGGTAGATTTCGCACAAGTCCTTGATGTCAGCGGTCCCCACCTCCTCCGTGATGGACTTGTCTGTGCCTTGTGGCTCCCATACGCTCATGAATTGCACACCGTAGGCTGTCAAAATCGCACCCCCACCATCAGTTTCATCCTGGGCGACATCGATCGCCGGTTTGAACGGGCGTACTGACGCTACCATTTTTTTCTTCTCAGCATCCCAAAAAACCTCCAAGACTCGGCAAACGCTATTATTGTTGGTCGCACCAGTACCACCCTCTTGTAGTGCGACTATTGCGACGTCGTTTACGTGAACTGTCCTCCCCTTCGATCCAGGCGGCCTAATACCGTCGTAGCCGTAGTGAGGGTTTGATCTAGCTAGGACACCGTGCATGTTTGCACGTCTCCGGTTGCCCACAGGTCTCTCGGGGCCACAAAAAATGTGCTCAGAGGCCAGATTGGACCCAACTGCCTCGTTTCTAGAAAGTTGCTTTCCTCCCGGGTTGCGTAAGAACGTCTTCATCGACGACGAAGCTTCCAGCTGGCGTTTGAGTATCAAGTTCGCCGGGACATCGTACACAATCGAAGTGCTATCTTTGCCCCCGGCAGCGATGGCGGGGGGCGAGCACCGCACGTCTCGCTTGTACACTTCGTACAAGTTCATACAGTCGCGCGTCCTTGCAAAGAAGTGCTCGGCTTGTACGCCGTCTAGGTCTTTGATGTCAAATCCACCCCCTGTTTCAGAATCTTTGAACCGAAGCATAAACAATAACCCGGCCAACGTCGCCCGTGACATCTGCTCCTTTGTGACTAACTGCATCAACAACAAATGGGATTGGGTCTTGAAGGGATACCACGGTGACTTTTCCGCCTTTGTGTTGTACCTAAGGTTTTGGGCCCCTCCTTCCATGAGGACTGCACCGAGCGCTGCGCAAATAGGCTTGTGGTAAGTTCCTAGGCGCGGCATGTGGCTGTCACTTGGTTCTGAGATCGGTGCACCCGCCGCACCGCCTATACCAGCGTCATCAGTCGGTTTCGCTTCTCCTATCTCAGCACCAGGCGAATCCAACTTAGCGTCAGAATCGTCGTCGACATGGCCATGGTCTACGTTGTCGGCATTTGCCCAGCCTATGTCACCACTCCCAGTAGACCCTTCGCTGCTGCTGGGGTAGTTTCTATCGTCTACAACAAATTCGCAGTTCATCATAAACCGATCCCGCAAAGTGTCTTCGTCCTCGTCGTTCGGACCTCGCCTTGCAAGCTCTGCGTTTCGGACAACTTCGTCCAAGTTGGTGCCGGACGATACCACGCTACGACGTACATCGGATGAACCACCCGCCAAACCTGTGCGTCGCGAGTTAGTTGTAGATTGTTCCTTCTGTTGGACTTGGTTTCGGCAATACTTGGTACAAAGAGTTTTTAGAGGTGGGAGAGCGTTTTTACGTTTGCGCGAAATGCATCAACCTACTATTGTACTCTATCAAATGCTCAATCCGTTCTCTGCTGCAGGTGAATCGAGCTTTAATCGTCGGGACAGCGTCAGCTAGAGGGAAGTGTGTGTGTGTCTCTCGTGCGGCATAATTATGGCTCTTATAATTTTAATTTTGTCAATGTAAAACTCTCAATACATATAACACACCTTCACTAGGAATAGACCACATCTACTCGTGCCCCGACCAGTCGATGCGTGGTCGTGCCGCACATGCTGCGGTCCTGCTGTGCCCCCCGCCGCCCCCGTAGCGCTACGCCTGCCGTCGTGTCTCGCATTCTGATGTTGCCTTAACGACCTCGCGTCGCGCGCCTCGTGTCCGCAGAAACAAGTCCACCGTCCCTCTGAAGGGTGGGGACGTGCACGCCTTGGGTCGCGATTGTACATCGTTTATGTGACACAATAGACCCCCTCTCCTCCATGCTTTGGGGGTCATACACCGGGTATGCGACACAGAACATACCATACACGTGCGCACAGCGCGTCGAATTTGATATATAACTGCGGCGCAATAGGCTCCGAAACCGCAACATAACGCCTTTTGTCATTGAAACCCTCCGATGGTTAAAGCTCTGATCTTGAACATAGATTTGCTGTTAGCCTGCCGTCACACACTCCCTACGCACGAGAGATCATGGCACGGCGTGCGAGCAGCGCCGGGGCGCCTCCCTTGAGGGACTACAGCATCCAGGAGGATTGGATCGCGCGTACGGGTGGAGGCGTCCTGTCTGCATCGGCCTTCTCCAGGTCGAAGCAGAAGGGAAAAAAGGGCAAAGGAAAGAAGAAAGCGTCGACGCCTCAACGCCATGATCAGCAGCAGCGTGATGAGATGAATGTGAGTTCGACTGACAACGGCCAAACATACTCTGCAGCGGCTCTCAGGGAGGCTGAGCGTTACCTTGGTCCTTTGGACGAGTTCGACGATGACATCCTGGGTCATCGCAGTGAACGCCGCCGTCGTCGCCTGCGCCGAAAGCCCGCTGTCGGGAAGGCGGCTGCCGACAGCAAAATATTCCACGTGCGTTTTTCATGTAAATTTGATCAAATCGAGGGTTGTTTTAAAGGGGGTTGTTTTGGAGGGCTATCTCCTTGGCCCGCACGCCCACCTCTTCGTGTTTTGTACGGTTCTTGCCTCGATGGATGCTTCATGCGTAGATCTCGGGACGAATTTATTGTCTATAGGGGTACATGTGCCGGACACGTCTACTGGATGATTGGGAAACTTGTTTAGGTACTTACAAAAAACCAACGGCAAGTTTTGTTTTTTTCGGTTTTTAAATGCGCACATAACCGTCTTGACCGTTGGCCCCTCGACCGTACGCAACCTAGCCCTGACCAACTTGGCCCAATTACCACATAGGGCGAGGTAGCGTGCCGCGCGGTGTAGCCGACTAAATTCCCTGCGGTACGTTGGTGGAGGTCGACCCCCTTCCCCCCATATATGTAGACAATATCCGCGCCTCCTTGTGAAGACTTTTGTCGAGGTCGGACACTTGAACCCAACCCGAACCTCAAAAAGGGCAGAAATTCAGTTGACAAAGGTCTCCACAAGGGGGCGCGGGCATCCGACATTTTGGGGAAGGGGAGTCGAACTCCACCTGTGTAGCGTCATGTATCTGCGCTGTGTTTCGATCGTGTACACGGAGGGTCGTCGGTGTGTGTGCGCTACATACTTTACTCGTATGCATTACACTACCAATACCGTGACCAGTACCGTAGTGGGTGGCACGAGATACCGTGACCCCTACATCGCGGGGGGCTCAACAACAAATATTTTAGGGAAAACGACACAACAGGGTATACCCTGGTCGAAAAGCGACACACCTGGGTACACAGTCATTAACAGCAGTAAATGCATTCATATGATTGGTCAGCGCCCAATTTCACCCCGGTACGTCCGAAAAGGCGCAGGGTATACGCTGCTGTGTCTACTTTTCTCACCAACTGTACCCTGTTTTCGGAAGTATACCCTGACCTAACGGGAAATGAGACCCATTCATCAATCATTTCCCCCGCAGGAATTTTCCCAACTCCTTTTCCCCTCCAACCATGGGGTACCAAACGGCGAATCTTCCCACCCAATAACAACCATGGCAACGCGGCAGGAATCCGTTTCCGCCCCTGCCAAACAACACCAACCATCAACTCTTCCGCTCTAAATCAACAATGGCCGGGCACTACCCCAGCACAGCAGTTGTTCCGTTTGGAAACATGCACCCGCGTACAATACCCCGTGCACCACTGCTTGCTGCAGTCTATATGCGACATGCACGGGTCACGCTACGAAAGCGAGACCGATCCAGCATGGTTGACATGCATATATATATATGCATGTATGGACACAGCACTACACGGGTAACGTTGGGCGCTGCCACTCCCTCCTGCCTGTGCCGTGTGTGCGTGGGTGTGTTGTCTGTTGTGTCTCAATTGCGATGTGTTTGTTGCTTGAACTACTACTACTACTGCTGTAACAGCAGCGGTCGCGCTTACCAGCCGACCAAGCCGACCAACCAATCAATGTATGTAGTAAGAAGACGTCAGGCTTCAGCGGGATGAGCCGATGAAATACACCGCGAGCACAGGGAGGGTGATTGAGTTGGACGACACAGTCCTGCTGCTAGAGTTGTTAGCGCTCGCTCCTTCTTCCATGATTGATGTCAAGGGCGTGTCTGTGTGTGGTGTTGCTGCCTCTCTCCTCCGCCCACTCAGCGCAGCGCCACACATCATGGGCACATACATGCATATATATATATGCATGTCAACCATGCTGGATCGGTCTCGCTTTCGTAGCGTGACCCGTGCATGTCGCATATAGACTGCAGCAAGCAGTGGTGCACGGGGTATTGTACGCGGGTGCATGTTTCCAAACGGAACAACTGCTGTGCTGGGGTAGTGCCCGGCCATTGTTGATTTAGAGCGGAAGAGTTGATGGTTGGTGTTGTTTGGCAGGGGCGGAAACGGATTCCTGCCGCGTTGCCATGGTTGTTATTGGGTGGGAAGATTCGCCGTTTGGTACCCCATGGTTGGAGGGGAAAAGGAGTTGGGAAAATTCCCTGCGGGGGAAATGGATTGATGAATGGGTCTCATTTCCCGTCAGGTCAGGGTATACTTCCGAAAACAGGGTACAGTTGGTGAGAAAAGTAGACACGGCAGGGTATACCCTGCGCCTTTTCGGACGTACCGGGGTGAAATTGGGCGCTGACCAATCATATGAATGCATTTACTGCTGTTAATGACTGTGTACCCAGGTGTGTCGCTTTTCGACCAGGGTATACCCTGTTGTGTCGTTTTCCCAATATTTTATTCATCTTGCTCTCTTTGCGTCGTGGTCCCTTGTCCGTCGTCCTTTGCAGGAGGAGGAGCCCGAGGAGGAAGAGCAAGAGGCGGATCTCTCGTCCGTCAGGAGCGCTAAGGCTGCCGAAACGGCTCCTGGGTCGGCATCTTCGCAGCCGTCGAGCCGCCGGCCATCACTGCCAGGATTTTCCAGTATGGACGACGGTGGCGGCGCCGCCAGCGGTGCCGCGGCCACGGCGTCGCCTGGCGTGACGGCGCCGCGTGCCTCCTCCACTCGAAGGGTGTCGGCGGAGTTCGGCGACATTTCTTCGTCCGCGCGCCCTGCCGCTGCCTCCAGCTTTGGAGGTGTCAGCCACGGCGACGGCACAGCTTTCACGGTGTCGTCATCCATGAAGCCTGAAAACGCCATGGCTAGCGTCATGGGTGTTTTGGGCCCAGACGCGGCCCCACGCGTCTTCATATACCTCCTGCAAGAGCACATGGCGGAACATGTGAGTTGAATCTTTGTGTCCCTGTCAGAGAGAGTGTTGCAAAACACATACATACGCACGTCTCGTTATAATTTAAGCTTGTGCTTTTGTGTTTCTTGCGTAGATGCGGGTGCATTTTTTTGTGGTGTTGACTGAAATTTTGCCGCCGAAGTCCTCGAATCGTGAGTTTCCCACCATCCGGTCGGTCAATAATATAGACGCACCACCTTCCGTAGGTGGCACAATATGCCACAACCCCTGGGCCGATTATAAAAAGCTAACCTCAGTCCAGGACCATGAACATGCAGAAATGAAACGCCACGTTTTCGGAGAGCTCTCGACGAGATGGTTCATGCCGCCGTTTTGGTTGGGCCAGTTACTGTGTGGCAAATATCGATATTGTTCACAGCAGCAGGGGGTGCGGTATCTTGTGTCACCTACGGCGGTACATAAGGGGCTTGGCGTCGTGTGGAGGTGGAACCACAACTACTAACTTATATGTATCCTTGGTAACCCAGGATCGTCGTACATGCCGACTGGTGACACGAGTAGGAGTATTGTGTACATTGATGTCTTGTGCTCGCCGTTCAGCCCGAGGATGATTGATGGTTGTGTTTGCACCGACAAGCGTGGTTTCAGCATTCCCATCGTCGCAGACTAAATAGCATAGAACCCACGACTTCTCTCTCACGCGTCGCTGGATTTTCCGCCCCCGATCTTGTGCTATACGGACGATATGCATCTCGCAGGTGCAGCTGGTTTTCTCTCCCATGTTCGGCGGCAGCGCGGAGACCGCGGCGACTCCTGCAGTTCACAGCGGCAGGCAGTCCGGAGGCGCAAACCGAGGTTTTACCGCCGGCATCTCCGTTGTCTGGAGTCACGCCATCATCGGCGACCAACAGCTGAACTTCTCGTTTGGGATGGGGAGGGCGGACCCTGCCACGAATCCGTGGTGCCGGATGTCCTACGGGTTCTGGGAGCCCGGTGGGATGAAGTGCGCGGCGTTCATGAGTGAGTGCTGTGTCTCTGTTTAGATATTTTGGTGGTCTTGTTGACGACTTGCAATGGCACAAGGATTATGGCTAGGCCATGACGTATATCGGCTGTGCTGTGATCGTAATATATACTATTTCTCCCGTACTAAGACTGACGTGAAACACACTACATTTCGCCTCGATGTCGAACATGGACGTTCACGCCACGCAACAAGCCTACCACTTTCGTAGGAGTCGGACAAACGACCTGCTCTAATCGCACATGCGTCCGGAAATAGACTTACCTTGCTTGTGGCGGGCTGTTTATTGTGGCGACTAGTACACGAGCGAGTATCAATACTGTCGGGTGACTCATTACAGATGTCTCGCTGCAGCGCTACACCCGCGATTCACCGCCGTGGAACGTAACGTGATGCGTTGCGCCGTCTGCATTTTCGGGGGGGGGGGGGGTACTAGGTATCATGCATGCCGTAGTCGTTAAGACCATAAACCTCCCATGGGAGGGGGAGGGGGGGTGTTCCCAGGTGGCAGCTACATTCTGTTTGTTGTCCCCCGGGTCGGCAAAAGGTTCTTAACAGTTTTGCCCTCTTTGTCCCTGCGTGCCTGACGAAGTCCGTTCAAAACCGTCTGTCATTTATGTCTTAACGCCCTCCAAACACAGAGACCTTTCGGCCCGCGCTCCAGTCCGCACGTGGCACAAGGCCGTGAGGCTGGCCGTCATGATCTACATCCTCTCAGTGCTGGAGAGTTAGTCGGACGAAGACAGCGACCAGAGCACGGACGAGATCCTGAGGGCAGCGTCCCGGGCCGTCATTGCATTTGACCCTGCGGTCGTGGCAAAGACCGACGTGAGTACGTACAGATGTGTCATGTCGCGCGTGGTGGGTCGTAGAAACACATTATCTCTTGCGCCACCAGCAGAAAACGGCAACCTGCCGACCCCCGCTTCGCGTCTAAACGTACCAACCCAATCGGTCGGTCATGTTATTGTTGTTGCGTGGCATATGTGTGCAGTAGTTTCGCGGCAAGTTTCAAAGCGTGCCCGGAATCGACGATCCTCGATTATATACAAACGATGGCTAATACCCTCTTTACTTCCTTCGACCCCTCTTCGTGTCTATTTCTCCCTAACCCACGCAGGACATGCGCATCTTAGTCGGAGCCATCCTCGACTTGCCCCTACAGGCCCACAGGACGGGAGGGTGGGATTCCTTGGAGCCTGACGACGTATGGGGGGGGGGGACTGTCCTGTTCGTTGACAAGGTGAGCACAAATTTGGACAGCCTAGCGTGTAGCCCTTCCAGCCATGTATGAAAATTAGTTTGGTCATGACTTGAAGACCGTGCAAGTTTGGACAGCCTAGCGTGTAGCCGGTGCAGCCACGTCTTGATTTTTCTTTGTCTCATGACTTGAAGACCGGTGTTTATTATGTCCTCGATGCCGCGTACTCCGTTCGGTCGCCGCGTGTGATGCATTCTATTATTCTACTCACTCACTCCCTACACCTCTCGTACCTGTTGTGGGGTCGTTTGGCTTCCTTGTTGTCATGGCAACACACGCACAGGTAGCCCTGCCAATGGTGGAGGTGGCCATTGGGCTGATGAAGGTGATCATCGACGACGAGGAGTTGGACAACATGGCCATGGCCATCAAGCGGGTCAGACGCTGGGCCGTGCTCGAGAAGGGCGGGTCGTCCAATACCGTGTTCCAGAAAGAGTGAGTGCAACGTAGGTCCGGCGTGTAGGCAACGTTGAGACCACCCAGATACAACATGGTATTTTGTTTAGTGTGTGTGTGTGCGTGCGTCCGTTGGACCAAGCTTGTGTTCCATCACGCCCTTGACATGTGGGAGCCAATTTGGTCCACACCGGTCCTTCCCAGCAGCAAAATGTGTTTGTGTGATCAACATTACTCTGTCGTCCTACAAACCCGTGCATTCCACCGGTGTTGCATGTCGTGACACCTCCCTCTTCTTGTCTACTTTGCCCTCCGTCTTGCCAACTATCCTGCAGGTTCTTTCGGCGCGTGTTCCTTTGGGCGCATGGAGGTGGCCAGAACCTGGAGGGCTGCCTCGACATCACGATGGAGACGATCGGCTGCACCGATTACGAGGCACTAGCTTGCCCGTACTTGAAGCCGGGTACGCTTTTCAAGTTTTGCTGTAGCACAGTGTTATTTCATTCAGACTCTTTTTAATGCTGGGCGAAATATGGATCTTGGGAGGGGTGGTGGGGTGGGTTGGTTCGTCTGCGTGGGATTGCTGTGCATACCTGATCTATTGTTTTAGTAACCCATTCACAACAAAAGGACGCATCTGCTACTTTGGTCGCGTTCGCTTTTGTACCCCTGCGTGCATGTGACGAAGAATTTCACCTCTTGTGTATAGGGCTTTTGTGGTGCCTTGATGCTTGTTCACATGGTAACGGACGCAAACAGCGACAGGCACATTGGTCAGCTCCCCTAACCCTTTCCAATCGTGAATACAATTTTGTACACGCGATTATACTCCGTCCTTCACCTTCCGATTTTTCTCCTTGCGGTGTCCTCAAACTTAAACATGTGGCAGGTGCACGCAAGGGCCCCGATGTTGACTCCTGTGACGAGGTGCCCGAGACCCTCGCCCCCGCCAACTCCATGCTCTCTGGTGGTGACGACGGCTCGGACGGCGACGCCGAGGGTGTGGCCATGGAGGAGGTTTCGACCTGATCTTCTCTTTTTTGCCGGCGTTCTGTCAGGCGCGGGTGTCGATTTCATGTAGCTCCTTCATGATGCCTGACATGTGTGTTTAAATTCAGGCGTGCGTCGCCGCGGTTGTATTGTATGTAGGTATTCTGACCGCCCTGGCGAGTTAAATCAGGCACAAGGTTGTAGTGTTCTCTCTGGTGTGTATTTTCCGAGGTGTGTCTTGAACGACACAACACACGCCAGATTTGCAGCAATGTGGTCTAGAGACCCGGTGCGTCCTGATGGTACTAGTAGTTGATCTCTGTAGCGCCACCATTTAATCTTAGTCTTGGGTGATTTATATAATAGTGCATACGTCACCTCCATAGCCCACGGAGGTGTCCTGTAGAAAACACCTTTGCAGAATACGTCCACGCTTACTAGTTGGATCATGGCTATATGTTTGTTTACGTGCACCCTGTTTAAATTCAGGCGTGCGTCGTCGCGGTTGTATTGTATGTAGGTATTCCGATCGTGATGATGAGTTAAATCAGGCACACAGCGTAGTACATGTAGTGTTATCTCTGGTGTGTAATTTTCGAGGGGTGTCTTGAACGACACAACACACGCCAGATTAGCAGCCTTGAGACCCGGTGCGTCCTGATGGTACTAGGACCTTATCTCCCTAGCGCCACCATTTAATCTTAATCTTGGGTGAATTATATGTGGTGCATACGTCACCTCCATAGCCCACGGAGGTGTCCTGTAGATGAACACCTTTGCACAATACGTCCACGCTTTTGTTAGTTGGATCATGGTCGGATGTTTGTTTATGTGCACCCTGTTAAGCAACGTGCGTCGTCGCGGTTCTGATGTGCCACAACAGTTTGATGGTGCCCATAATGGACTGGATGTGGAACCTATGACTTTTGTGGAGGTAATTTGGAGCCCACTCTTGTCCGAGATCTATTAGTAGGTAGAAGGTCATGTAGGCCTTTAGTTGGGTGTTTTGCTATGCTCGAAGACTAGCATTATAGCTCTATGTAGACGCGAGGGCGTGAGACAATTTTTTGCGCTTGGCACTTGATGGCGTGCTTGTTGTAGGATGGACGCTCGGAGAATAAAAGGGCTGACGCGTGTATGTGTGCAAGTCTCTGCACAAGGTTAGCGGACGGCTGCAACGAACATGTAGTCTTAGGGCGTAAAGATTGGAATATATATGTGAAACACAAGCAAGCAACACTTCTCAAAACTGTCGTCGGCCTATCAACGGCCCGTACCCAAACCTAGCCCAAGGTCGCAACCTTCCCAAATAAATGGCTACGACCTTGCCAGGCCTATTAACCCTGCCGCTGGCGTTCAAACATCCTTCCTTGCACAACGTCGACATGCGTGGCCAAGGTCGATGTGGGTACCTTGGCAGGGTCTTGACCTTAAACAAGGTGGCTTTCAAGCCGAACCTTGCCCCGGTACCGACCTTGTGCAGGCTACCAATGATGCACGTTGGCAGGGTCTTGTGCAAGGGCAAGGTGGCTTTCATGCGCACCCTGTCCATGTCCCGACCTTGTGCAAGGTTGGGTGGGGGGGGGACCTTTCATCTTTGGGGGCGTAGCTACAGGGTCGACCCCCCCCCCAACCTTGTGGCTGAGCCGAATGGCCACGGGTGTATGACCCCAGTCGAAAGGGGTGTGCTGAAGTATTTTCCGTGCTCCACCGTCCGCCCTGAGCCGACCCGTCCCGTCATATATTCCATGCAACACCAGGTCATCATGATGACCTTTGGTGACTTGTCAATGCTTCAAACTTCCGTACCTGACCTGGCCTGACATGATTTCGAGCGTGTGCGTCGTGTGTCGGAAGTCACGGGGCCTGTCTGTCAAGACGTTTATTTGATCAAAACACCTGGCCAAACGTAAGTATTTCGTGGTGCGTAAGCATATGAACCTATGTATCACCCAACGCACAAGCAGAAGTGTACGTACGTGGTCTAGATCTTTGTTGGATCTGCTGATTGCTGCAGATACATCTGAACCGTTGTGCACCGATCGAGAGTTCTTTCCATTGGAGCTGAACATTACATGTACATAAGAGGAGACTGAGAGGTACCACTGCTGTAGGGGGACACACACAGCGCCATCTGTTGCGGTTAGATCAAAATCGGATGCCATGAATGCAATATTGTGTGGACCGTTTGCGAACAACCGTTCGAAAACTATTACTGGTAAACAATACAGACACCTGGAGCTACACACAGCTTGCTGCGTTGTTCGTTGGACCCCAGCGGTCGGACTGCGGACACAAACAACAATGTGAGAACGGGAACCAAAAAAAGGATACCACCGTTTACGCACCTCTGGAGTGTGCGAGACTTACGTATCCATGCTTACCATTATATTGTTCTTTACGTAACGCGCAGCTTCTGCTGCTGTGGTCTCTCAATAAATATATCTACCAATCAACGCCATGTGTACAGGTATTCGTGTTCTAACCAGCACCCTCCGTGTATACACGGATCCATCCACCGGACAGATCGGGAATTTCCAGGTTGGATCTTTCCCAGAAAAATCTCTAAAATATACCGGTAGAATCTTCTCTTCTCGCCTCTCACAACCCCCAATCTCACAACTAACTCATCATCCCAACCAAAGAAAGCTTCCCACACCATCACACAACACGGCAGCCCCCCCCACACCAAGCCTTCGAGTGTTTTCCCACACGACCCTCGCTCAGTGTGTGGTCCGGCGTTGAGCAATGCTTCGCCGGGTGCTGCGCTCTGCCGCGGCGGTCCTGCCCGCCGCCCTAGCGCTCGCGCAGCAAGATCATCACGAAGTTGCCCCACGGCAACAACGGCTAGGTGTTGTCGTTCCGGCCTACAAGGGCGACCTCGCCAGGGCCGTATCGTCGCTCGAGCGATGGCCCGCCAAGTGCTCGCCCCTGACCCTCGAGAATGCCGACCTCGTGCTGTACTACGCGGAGGAAGAGAGCAGCGCCACGGCCTCCGCCCTTGAGAGCATCTCCACCACGGCCGGCCGCTGCTTCTCGAGAACGCGGATCGTGTACGCCAACCTTGCGCAAGAGGTGAGAATGATCGATTGTTGTTTTTTAAGCTTTTCTTGGAAAGAGAGGTGTGTCGCGATTGCGATCTGCCCTCTTGCGCGCGTGTCGAGTTGGTAGAGGCGGCGACTCGTACAGCAGCGTCCTCTCTCTCGTGTTACCGCTTCCGCATACTGCTGTTGAATTTGATCACTCGTGTGTCTTGCCGACAGCAGTAATGACAGAAAGCCGATACAACGTGTCGACCAAACCCCACCAAACCTTGGGTTCGCACATATTTGGGACACACACGCGGGAAGCTCCGTCGGGGGACCACCGAAAATCTCTCAAAAACGTCTCACCCCAACGACATCTGTTCAAGTCAAGAGTTCGAAAGGACCATATGCCCGTCACCGCAACCGCCCCGCAGCTACCTCCCTCTCAAGCGCCCGCACCTGCCAACAGCAAGAGCGTGAGACCAACGTATACCTGAGGCGTCAGAATCTGTCTGTTGTGGTGCGTGATGTGACAAAATTCACTTGGGGCATGCAATACGTATTTCGATCTCTTCCTTGTTGGAACTGTGTGTCGCTGACGTCAAAGTGTTCCCGCACACCAGGACCGGCTAATTTACCGTTTTGCATACTTGTGGTAGTCTCAAGCAGTCTGAGGGTTGGTGCCCGTCACTCGGCGGCGAGCGTTGCATCCCACCTCTTCGGCCTCGTGTTTTCTTCGATGTCTCGCTGAGACGTTGAACGTTCGGTGCGGCAATTCACGCAAAAGTTAGGGGATATTTGTGAGAGGAGAGCGGCGGTTAAAGAGCTCCGAAACAAGAAACAAGAATTTTTTGTCTTGCTACATATACAAGAGTCAATCCACATGGTCGATCGTTGTTGAGGAGTCGACAAGGGGACCATGCTTACTTGCTTGTGGGTTACCCAAGGAGTGGCTCTGATGTGCAGACCCTGCGCTGATCGGTGCACGGCGGGGCAACAAGATTGCCCGGAGAGTTTGGTGGACGCAGGTGCTCCGACACGTTGTTTTTAAAGCATCGGCAAGGGGCCCAGCGGCCCAACAATGCGGAAGCGGAGAGCTCTCTCGATATGTGTGATCATTTGTGATGTCGAGAGGCACGAGCGGCAACTTATAGCCGTTGCCGAATCCGGAGTCGGAAAGAGCAGGCAGAGATCAACGGGAATACAACTCCCTGACGTTCGTTGTTGGCACTACATTAGTAGGGATTGCTGCCTTTCGACCATCCCCTGTGTCGCAGCGCTCATCCACACATTCTCTTCTCAAAAATCATTTTCTCACTACGCTGTGCACGAACAAAACCGACGGGGAATCCGAACGGGGATCCGAAACAAAACTGCATTGTCGCGCCATATGATTCATTTTCTTGGCTTGGAATGATCATCCGTGTTGTGGAGACGTACACCACAGGATGGGTGGCTCGTCACCCATTTCGTCACCCATTAAGAGGGGGCGGGCCGCGGCGTTTGTGAACCTGTGAGACACAGCAGCAGCCACGCAGCCGTGTGAAGACATGCGACAGAGTCTTCTTCACGCAAAAATTATCGTTCTCGCGATGTTGTGTATCGTTGGTCGGCGAACCAAGCGCAAACTTGGCTTGTTCTAGACCAGTGCCGTTCAGTGTTGAAGGAAGAAGTGAGAGATTTGCCTAAAAGAGTAGAAGGGTCCGAACGAAAGACCGACAAAATACTGTGAAGTTTTATCCAACTGGTACAGGATGCACGACCCGAAACTGTAAATGAAGCAAGCACGATTCTTGTCTTTGTATGCAGGGATATCTACCTGTATATTGTTTGTGTTCGCCAATCTTGAGCCCGTCTGTGGTCTCTGACACACGTTGGTTTCTGAGGCAAGCTGCCGTGCACCGCCGATGACGCACGAGGGAGCGCCCTCGTCGCCGCGTGTAAACTACGACGAAAGTATCGCGTAAAATATCGCGTTACTTCTCTATGGGTGGTTAAAAGCGCCGCAAGGACATCTGTGTCGCGATTCCTGTGCTGTGTGGGTATTTAGTTGAACAAAGTCCTCGTCAGTTCGACGGGAGGCCGATCCTGAACGCTTTAAAGCGGAGGCCGGAGGGTTTGAAGTCAAGACAACACGACCATCACCATCACCACCAACCACAACCAACTGCTCTTGCGGGCGCGTGTTCGTGAATGTGTTAATTTTCGTTCATTCCTTGGGCAAGAATTACCCCGAAGAGAGAATTCAACCACATACTCCAAAAACATCGATCTCATTCTATGCCTTACACTAGAAAACAAACAAGCAAGCAGTCACAAAATTCTATCTCTCTCCACTCTCTGCGCAAGTACAGGGTGACGTGACGAACGGAATTGTATTCATTGCGGCAACGGATAAACCTCTCCTTCAGTGTCTACCGTATATGACACAAGATAACACACCCCCTGGACCGATTTTCAAAGCTCGATTACTCCACGACGAAGAGGATGCATAAATGAAACAATACGTTTTCGAACAGCTCTCGACGAGACGGTTCCAACGCCGCCGTTTTCGGCGCTGTGACTCTTCCTGCTGTTGAGAAATCGAGCTTTCAAAATCGGCCAAGGGGGTGTGTTATCTTGTGTCATATACGGTATGCTTCTCAAAACGGCGAAGTCCCTCGTCTGCGTTTGTGTCACTGATGATTGCCTGGCTTCTCGCTAGCTGCTGTTCTTGTCTTAATCGTCGAAGCACACGATAACTTACGCCATCTTTTTTTTGCCCCGCTGTGTCTACGTGTACTTTTCAAGGATGACATATATCCCCGAGGCCCCTCCGTCATGTTCTACAACATGTTCCTCGACGAGAGTGTTCGCTCCAGCCTCTCCGAGTACGACGCGCTCTCCATCATCGAGTGGGACGTGCTCGTCGCTAGTGACAACTCCTTCGAGGAGCTCTACCACGCCGCGTTCCGCGTGAACGAGGAGTTCTGGGTGAAGGGCAGCAACCTCGAGGGCACCTCGTTCCACTCGACCGCTGAGGCATCGGAGATGTGGCAGGTGCTCGGCCACATCAACGGCAACGCCATCTACAACAACGACGACCCCGCGTTCGTCGAGTATGTGGAGTACACCCGGTCCCGCTGGGGATACGAGCACCCGTACGACGTGGCGCTGTGGATGACCATCTCGGACTTCCCGTACAGCTGGCCTCTCTACCAGCGGTACTCGAGCAAGTTCGTCGTGACCAACCTGGTGGGTAACGGGGGAGGGTCGCATTTTGTCTTTCATTCGTTCTGTACAATAATACGTGTCCGGAATGCACACGCCTTTTTTACTGTCAAGCTCTTTTAGGGCAATGCTACCTGTATTTGTACATGGAAGGAAAGTGCTCGGTCGTGGGCACAGGGTAAGTTGCGGGCTAAGGTAGAGGAACCGTTGGGTGAGATCACAGGTCGGAGAAATCGGTACAAACGCTGTACGGGCCGAAGTGGTGTATCCTTTCGCGGTAACCCTACCCCAGTCCAGGTTCATCTGTGTACCAAGTACTTGCAGCATCATCTTCTCAGGAGGGTCGTGCGCGATGAACCGTTGGGAGCGCGCTCGAATGAACGGCTTCACCTACAGCAGTATCATCCCAATGTCCGCCGAACGTATGCATGAAATGTGCCGTTGAGTACGTAGTATCGTTGGATTCAAGCCGGCCCACATTCCCCGACCTCGTTGTCCATCGTCGTCGACCCAACTCTTCCTTTCCTTGTCCTTTTTTTTCCCTGCCCGCTTCCCCGTGCACCGTTTTCCAAGATCTCCTCCGTCGGCTTCGAGCACGTGGGCCACGACATGGTCTCTGACGCGGTTGCGGGGCAGACCCTTTTCATCCACGGCAGCAGCGTTGAAGAAGGCAACGTCGCCTCCTTCAGGGCCGCCGCCGCCGCTGCCGTCGCCGTCGAGGAACCCCAGCCAGCCCAGCAGCGCAGCCGGAAGCTAACAAGCGTGCCGAAGTGGAAGACGGCAGAGAAGTGGAGGAACAGCAACGGCGACGGCACCCCCAAGTGAGTTTTTTATGTTTTTTTACCGGTGTTTTTATTTTGTTTGTGGATGGTTGGTTGGTTGGCGCGATTTCGGTGACCGACGAAACCCGGTTGCACTTCTTGTCCCGATCATGCGCTTCTTGAGGGCTGGTGACGTACCGGACGACGTCAAGTTTTTCTGTGCCGAAAATTCTTTTTGAGTTGATGCCATTTGAGGCGAATTGTTTTCACCATGCAAGGTTTTTTCGTCTTTTGTTGTCGTTCATTTCTCTCGCTTGTTGGCGACTTCGACAAACGCTGTACGTCCGAGGCTTGCGAAACAGGATCGTGTTTTGTGGACGATAGCGTTGCGGCGTCGCTGTCCTAACCTTTCCCTCGTCGGTCGATGCTTGGCCTGATCGCGCCACACAGGTGGAAACGGAACCAGAAGTGGAAGACCAAGGACGACGGTAGCGAGCCCAAGTGGCGGACCAACCAGAAGTGGAAGAACAGGAACGACTCTTCCGACGACGACTCGTCTTCGGATGCAGGGTGAGTTGGATGGATCCGTTGTGTGTTCTTGTTTTATACGTCTTGTTGGAGAACCCGGTCGTACTTCCTAGCCAATGTTCACAAGACTGTTTGGTGTTTATCGTGGCAGTGAAAATCTATCGTTGGTGTCCATTTGACGAGTGGCAACCGATCGCGGTCGGCGAGCCGGGGGCATATGGATCCGTTGTTTCACCCAACCCAGAGTGTGATGGAACGTGTTTCTTGTCCGCCCTCTTTTCCGTCGGCTCCGTGACCGTTGTGTTATCCCGACCGGAGCAGGTGCTCGTCCCGCTGCGCGTACACGAGCAAGGACGGCACCAAGGGACGCGTGTGCGACTCGAACTGCTCCAGCCCGAACGTGTACGGCACCAAGGGATGCAACGCCAAGCAGGGAATCTACGGCGCCGACTGCCGTGTCTGCTACAACAACGTGGACAGGGCCCTCAAGCAGGACTCTCCGGACAACCGTGCCATCATGTACGACGCAGTTGATGTGTACTTGGTGCGAGTTTGTTGCTGTATGCATGGCACCCACCGAGCCTGAATGTTGGACGCTATAAGCGAATGACGGTCTCCGTGTACATCTTGGCCAGGCCTTTTGCGCTTTCACTCGATATTTCAACTATTTGGTGGTCCGTTGTGACGGCTGAATACAGGTGCTCGACCGTGAAGCCGGTGGACGTCTACCGCCGCCGTATGTCTGCCGCGGACGAGAGCGAGCCCTCCCGAGTTGCACGTAGCCTGGAGGCGTTGAATGAGGAGGCATCGTCGCCGTCGGAGGAGGTGCAGTCGGCGGTGAAGGTCAACCAGGACCGGAAGCTGACGAGTGTGCCGAAGTGGAAGGCAAATGAGAAGTGGAGGACCGCGAACGATGACGGCGTCCCTAAGTGCGTTTTACGACGAGTGACACAAGATTGTGTGCAACGGGATCGACCATTGGTCGTGTTGTCGGCTGCGCACTTCGTGAAGGATTCGACGATGATTGTTTAATACTCGCCCAATGCCTTGGAAGTGGTTTCTGTTGATACATATTGCTTCCATGTCTATTTTTTTTTCTTTCGGTGAGCAGTATCGCCTGTGGCAGTGCAATGTAGATGAAAATGATGTGTTTCCACTGGGGATTCGCCCAACGCCGATGTCAAGACCTTCTGCGCACTCCCCCGCAACACCCCAGGTGGCAGCGCAACCAGAAGTGGAAGACGAACAAAAACGACGGCAGCGAGCCCAAGTGGCGGACCAACCAGAAGTGGAAGAACAGGAACGACTCTTCCGACGACTCCTCGTCTTCCGACCCAGGGTGCGCGGCGTGACCTGTTTTTTGTCACGAAAGGCGGACGACAGTCGAAGAACGAACTGGGTGTTGCTGAACCGCCTGTCGCTGTTTTCAACACCAAGCTCTGTGAATGAATTGCCGACCAGACGTGGGCTTATGCCCTTAAACATTCCTTGGTATTTCCCTTCCTTTTGCCTACTTTCCCTCCTCGCCATGACTAACGACAGCGTTCTTAACAGCTTCGGCTCAAATATTTTGTCGGGGGTTCTTTGTATCGACTCCCTGATTTTCCGTCCGCATCACCTGCTTGTTGTGAACCGAGGCAGGTGCTCGTCCCGCTGCACGTACACGAGCAAGGACGGCACCAAGGGACGCGTGTGCGACTCGAACTGCTCCAGCCCGAACGTGTACGGCACCAAGGGATGCAACGCCAAGCAGGGAATCTACGGCGCCGACTGCCGTGTCTGCTACAACAACGTGGACAGGGCCCTCAAGCAAGACTCCCCGGACAACCGTGCCATCATGTACGACCAAGTCTGCAGAATTGAGTACAGTAGAGCTTCGAGTTGCATGTGGGTTTTCCGCCTTACATGTGTCCATCCTCCTCGCCCCCTCTGTTGGGCGATTGTTGTCGGTTAGTTTTTGACATGTCCCGTTTTGCTTTGGTTCCTCGGTACGAAAATTAACGACAGGTGCTCAACCGTGAAGCCGGTGGACGTCTACCGCCGTCGTATGTCGGCCGTGGACGAGAGCGAGGCTTCCCGCGTGGCCCGTAGCCTGGAGGTGTTGAAGGAGGAAGCATCGTCGCCGTCGGAGGAGGTGGAGTCGGCGGTGAAGGTCACCCGGGACCGAAAGCTGACGAGTGTGCCGAAGTGGAAGGCGAATGAGAAGTGGAGGACCGCGAACGATGACGGCGTCCCCAAGTAAGTATTTCGAAAGTAAGACTTACTACGTACCCTAGTGTTTCCGTTGGCCTCTGTTCGTGTTTCTGTCAGTTTCTGTCTGAAGTCGTGGAAGTGGTTGTGCCATTGTACACGGTGTAGTTTGAGTTTTCCGAGCGTGCATTAGGAGCTCCCGACATCTGTTCGGTGTAGGCGTAACTCGGTATCCTGGCGCTGCGTTTCTGACGCTTCCCTTTTGGTTCACGCCGTCGCCGCCCACACTATACCCTCGCATCACACGCCAGGTGGCAGCGCAACCAGAAGTGGAAGACGAACAAGGACGACGGCAGCGAGCCCAAGTGGCGGACCAACCAGAAGTGGAAGAACAGGAACGACTCTTCCGACGACGACTCGTCTTCGGACGCCGGGTGAGAGTTTGACATCGTTGATGCGTGACGAATCTATACTTTGTAGGTGGGGCCGTGGTGATCAGCCCGGAAGTGGTGGTAATGTGCTGTGCTGGAGATCTCATCCCTATCGAAAGGTCTTCATCGATATTCGACCATGAACGAATTTTGCCCCCCTCTCGCGGAACTCGTCGGCCATCGGCACGCGTAACATTTTTCTGATTCGGCTTCCCCTTCGGTTCACTGCTGCCTGCTTCAACCGGGGGAGCAGATGCTCGTCCCGCTGCACGTACACGAGCAAGGACGGCACCAAGGGGCGCGTGTGTGACTCGAACTGCTCGAGGCCAACCGTGTACGGCACCAAGGGATGCAACGCCAAGCAGGGAATCTACGGCGCCGACTGCCGTGTCTGCTACAACGACCTGGATAGGGCCCTCAAGCAAGACTCACCGGACAACCGTGCCATCATGTACGACACACACCGCTGACAAGAGTAGAGCTTGCCTTGAGTTGCATGCGAGGGCCTAGCAGCGGGTATTTTTTGGCTCCCTTTTGTCTTGGGCGGTTGTGTTGGTCCGTCTGCTAACAAGGACACCTTTGTTTCTCTAACAGGTGCTCGACCGTTATGCCGGTGGATGCCTACGGCCGTCGTATGTCGGCCGCGGAGGAGGGCCTGCCCTCCTTCGTTGCGCGTAGCCTGGAGGCGTTGAAGGAGGATGCATCGTCGCTGTCGTGGAAGGCCAGCCTGGACCGCAAGCTTACGAGCGTGCCAAAGTGGAAGGCAGAGGAGAAGTGGAGGACCGCGAACGATGACGGCATCCCGAAGTGCGTACTTCGCAACGGTTGGAGGAGTGTTTGTGCTGCCGTTGGCTGTTGTGAGTTATGTCGAGGTTTGCCCATCATACACAGTGTATCACTTGCTGAAGTCTGGTTCTGGCGTGTTCGACGTTGTTGGTAGGAGTCGTGGAAACAATGTCGCTATTATAGTAGCTGAGCTCTGGTAGCTCTTTGTGTCTGTTTTCAGTCGCTATGACGCAGTGGGTGCGGGGTGAACCGCGAACTTCGAAACTGCCGTTGTCTGTAACAGGCCTTTTCGTTTCGAAGCTGGCACACAAAATTTTGAGCTCCGCCCTTCTGGGCTTTTTCTTCGAGCAATCTTCGCACGTCTTTTTTTCTCGTGCAAAGGCTTACGAATTGCCCTATTCGGATTGGACGTGTCTGCATGGCCTCGGCATTTCAGGTGGCAACGCAACCAGAAGTGGAAGACGAAGGACGACGGCAGCGAGCCCAAGTGGCGGACCAACCAGAAGTGGAAGAACAGGAACGACTCTTCCGACGACGACTCGTCTTCGGACGCAGGGTGAGTGTAAAATGGTCTTGGATATTTAACTAGTTCAGGGTCAAGCACGACTGCATGCAACATCTCTTATGACTGTTTGGGTGTGTAGCTACGAGGGCCTGAAAGCAGGCTGAGCAATATCGAACTCGTTGGTAGCGTACGTCTGCAACAAGCTCTGCTTGTTCATAGTTTTGGTTCACCCATCGAATTGACCTCTTCATCTTAAAACATTTTTACTGTCGAATATTGTACATCTTGCTCACCAGCTCTCGGTCTCCCCCGTGGTGAATTAATTCTCGATGCAGGTGCTTGTCCCGCTGCACGTACACGAGCAAGGACGGGACCAAGGGACGTGTGTGCGACTCGAACTGCTCCAGCCCGAACGTGTACGGCACCAAGGGATGCGGCGCCAAGCAGGGAATCTACGGCGCCGACTGCCGTGTCTGCTACAACAACGTGGACAGGGCCCTCAAGCAAGACTCCCCGGACAACCGTGCCATCATGTACGACCAAGTCAGCATAATGTTGATAGTGGGGCCCGACCCCTAGTTCATTCTTGGGGTTGGCCATGTGTTTCCCCCCCAATGGCCTCTGGGGCGATTGTATTGAGTCATTTTGCTGACGTGCCCCGTTCGGATTGGTTCCTCGGTACGAAAAATAACGACAGGTGCTCAACCGTGAAGCCGGTAGACGTCTACCGCCGTCGTATGTCGGCTGCGGACGAGAGCGAGGCTTCCCGCGTGGCCCGTAGCCTGGAGGCGTTGAAGGAGGAAGCATCGTCGCCGTCGGAGGAGGTGGAGTCAGCGGTGAAGGTCAACCAGTACCGGAAGCTGACGAGTGTGCCGAAGTGGAAGGCGAATGAGAAGTGGAGGACCGCGAACGATGACGGCGTCCCCAAGTAAGTATTTTGCGGTGGCATTTGGTTGTGTTTCTGAAGTCTTAGAAATGGTTTTGCCATGACAGATGCTTCAGTTGGGGTTTCTCGAGCGTGCGTTTGGAGCATCCGGCACCTGTTGGGGCCTAGGGGTAACTCTGCCCGACGGTATCCTGGGGTGACGTAGCTGACCGTTCCCTTGTGGTTCACGCCGTCGTAACCCACGTTTCACCTTCAAACCACACGCCAGGTGGCAGCGCAACCAGAAGTGGAAGACGAACAAGGACGACGGCAGCGAGCCCAAGTGGCGAACCAACCAGAAGTGGAAGAACAGGAACGATTCTTCCGATGACTCCTCGTCTTCCGACGCAGCGTAAGTTTGAAATACACTTGAAAAATGGTTCAAGTTTTGCGTCAAACACGATTGGTTTGAAAACTTGGTAGCGCTGTTCGTGTCCAACTGCAAGGGCCTGGAAGCAGCTTGGGCAATGTCGAATCGTTGGTAATGTACGTCTGCAACAATCTTTTTTGGAATGTTGACCAATCCGAGCTTCAACGGACCTTGCCCGTTTGTTCATACCCTTGGTGCACCCATCGAAGCGACCTTGATGTCTAGAGGGTCTTTTTCAGTCAAACGTTGTCGTGCTCACCAGCTCTCGGTCTCCCCCGTGGTGGATTAATTCTCGATGCAGGTGCTCGTCCCGCTGCACGTACACGAGCAAGGACGGCACCAAGGGACGCGTGTGCGACTCGAACTGCTCCAGCCCGAACGTGTACGGCACCAAGGGATGCGGCGCCAAGCAGGGAATCTACGGCGCCGACTGCCGTGTTTGCTACAACAACGTGGACAGGGCCCTCAAGCAGGACTCGCCGGACAACCGTGCCATCATGTAAGCGAACAAGCGGCGCGTGGTCACCATCATGCGTTGAAAAAAATCTGTCTTTTGTGGTAACGCCAATCGATGGGATGATGAAGTGTTTTGCCGGCTGTGAAAGGGACACGAGAACAGAACCCGGTCTATACTTTACTTACAACGCAGGTATCCTACCGGTGCTGCTTTTCTTTCCATACATGTTCATGTCGTGTGCTTTGCCTTTACGGCTTGATGGGCTTTTGCTCTGCTTTGTCTCCAGTCCGCTTGAACCCTTGTCCGTCACATCCCGTTTCGCGCACCTACTTGACTCGCCTGATTTATCTCGACAGGTGCTCGACCGTGATGCCAGTGGACGTCTACGGCCGCCGCTTGTCTGCCAGCGACGAGAGCGACCCTCTTCGCGTTGCCAAGATGATCGAAGCGGAGGATGTCGGGGAGGAGTTGAGCGTCGACGTCGACAGAGAGCAGGCGATCCGTTTCTTCGAGGAGGCGGCCGAACGATCGTACTCCCAGGACCTGAAGCGCCACAACCTTTGCGCCTTTGTCGGTGGTCGGGCGGGCGAGGAGGCCATGTGGGAGGTGACGGTGAACAGCATCCTGCAGTTCATGCCGGGCATTAGGGTGGCCATCGCGGCTGAGGCGGAGGGGCTTGACGCGTACGAGAGGTGCGTGGGTGTGCGTTGGTAATTGACACTTGGGACGTCTTTCTCTTTTGCACTCTCCGTGCCTCCTGATTGTCAAACAGCGCTCGAGAAACTCGCCGCCTCCCGTGCTCCAGTATCAGGCCTCTTGACGCTATCTCTGCTATTCCTTCCGATGCCGACAATCCTAGGTCCATGGGCGGTCTCCCCGGTGTCACCATTTCCAGCACCCAGAACCCCGCCACGGCGGCCCTGTTCGCAGACCAGTACTGCGGGCCTGGCACCGCTCTCATCTTGTACGTCGAGCCGGGGTCCGTTCTCTCCCGGCCCTTCACCTCCAAGGACACCCACTCCCCGCGGAGCGACCTCCTGGTCGTTTACACGGGCTCTCAGGGGAGCTACCACGACGCCCAGCTGAGGAGCCGCTCGGCTTCGGTGCTCGGGTTCGATGCACCGTCCTTCACGCACGGCACCGACCTGATGCTCCCGGTCGGCACTAACGAAGCCCTCCGGGAGTCGCTCGGGCTAAGGCATGGTGCCAGCCTGCAGCACGACGGCGACGGGGCCTCGTTGATCGCCCTTCAGGAGTTGGTGGGCTTCGACCAAGTCTCCGCTGTTCCCCAGGTGTTATGTCTTTCGTGTGTGGATGTTGAGTGTAGCGTTGGTGTATTGGAGGCTAATTATAGCTCTTGGCGTGTGGCGTTAACGGTCACAAAATTGCGTTCGGTTGTCTAGTTGTGTTAATTCGCGTTTGGGTCCTGGTGTCGGTTTTCATTATATTATGCACATACGCGAGGAATAGGGTGCACGCTCTTTGCAATCGCTCACCGTTCAGCCCTCCGTCGTCTTATACTTATGTATCCACGTTGCAGGTACTTGCCGCGCTCGCCTACTCCCGCGAAACGCCCGGAGTGTGGTTTGTCGACCCCCAGGCTTGGGTCGGTCAAAACCTGTTCAAGGAGGCGTCCATCTGGGACGTCCCTCTGGTCAAGCCCCGCTACACGTGCGCCATCGCTCCCGTCCAGCTGGAGCCTGGCAGCCCCAACACTGCCGAGGTTTTGCAAAGCAACCTCGACTTCTTCTCGAAGGGAGGAAAATGCGCCAACGGCCTGATTGATTTCATGCCTTAGCTTTCATCAACGTTTTCGCTTCTTGGTTTAGTTCTCTCCGTGTGATACGTTTGTTGTTTTACTGCGGGTTGGCGCACCATGGCTTGCCCGAGCTTGTTGTTGTTGCTGGGGCCAATACCTGCTCCCGTCACTATAGTGTAGTGCTGTACTATTTCCGATTTTGAATGACAGATGCTAAGTTGACGCATGTGTGTTGGTGGCAGGAACGGTCTTGTTGTATTATATGGAGCAACATTTTAGCTTTCGGGGCGCGTGGGCGTTGGAGGTATCGGTTGCTCGAGTGGGAACAGCTGTCTGTTGCTGGAGTCGGAACAACCCTCCGTCGTTTCCGCCAGCACGAACGCTACTTCGTGTTGGCCGTTCAATTTTTCACGGGTGTACGGCAGGATGGCATCTGCCGTTCCGGCACCTAGCACTTGCGTTGGAAGCCATGGCCGAAGAGACGAACGATCCGTCACGGAAGGTCGTCACAGAAAGCAGGTTGTACATAAATACCGCTGTTTTCGAAGCTCTTGTTGCTGTCATTTGTGCAACACGGTTGTGCAGATCCGTCTACGGGGTGGGTCTGCTCCAGGATGGTTGTTTCCGTTTTGTGTTTCTGAGCTGATAGCGTCGTAAGGTTGTACGGTGCTACCCCACTTGGTGTTTGTGTTTGGACCATGGTGACGTATATGCACCGTATGTCGCGCATGCTGTTTGCCTTAGGCAGGAGAGGCCTTTGAAGGTTACTCCGAAAAAATTCACTGGGCTTAAGTCTTCTTCGTATTGTGCCGCGTTTCGTTTGTTGCCGTCTCTCCCGACAGGGTCTCTGTTGTTATCTTAATCATGTTGAATCTGGTGTTATACCGAGCATCCTTCTTGTGCCACTAATCGTGTACCAACAGTTGTCTTTCTTGTAACGATGGGGATAACGGCCGCTTGTTCGCGAAGTGCCGCGGAGTTGATTACAGTGGTTTTACCGTCCTGCCGCGTCATTTTGAGTCGGTGACACGTAGACTAATACGCTGGGGACAGCCCCCGCCGGCGTGCGATTAGAGGACAGGTCGGGTACGACCTTGTTGAAAGGACACAATGCGGTCGATCCCATGAGGGCCTCGACAACGATTTGTTGCCTGTCAGAAGTTTATTGGGATCGCCAGGGAGGTGGTTGTTTTTTATTTGTTTTACAGGGAGGCGGTGCGAGGAAAGTGTGACGGGAGGTTCCCTTGCTCGAGAGTATTTATTTCGTGTGCGGTCGTTGTTGTGCGGTATGTCTAGCAATCACAACGTTTTTTTGTTCGGTTTCATTTCACCGTATCTTGCGGGTCTGTCGTTATGACGACGCGTGTATGGATGTGAGGGTGGTTTTGGGGTTATACTTCTCGTTTGCTGATGCGTCTGTCAGGGTGGCGCCGCTTGTGAGGGTGGGGTATGGTAAGTCATACCGGGTATAATATCGAAATTTGGGTTGGCAGGCAAAAAGAAAAGAAAATATTTTGTGTACCCTATCCCTATTTTCCCGTTTGCTTGTTTGCTTCTCTTTACTCGTAGCTGGGATTCTTGGAACGTCCGTGATGCGACAGGAGCGAGACTTCATCGATTGCGTGTCGGTACATCCGGAGGATAATATGTTGATCCTCGTGGTCACCCCTAGGGTGAGACCTCTCGGGTTACACGAAACAAACCACTGAAGTAATCTATCTGGCGAGGATCGTGGTCGAAAACAAGCTGAATATACGAATGGATGCATTGTTTGTAGCAGAAATCCCGGCCCTCTCGAGGCAAACATATACTCCATACATTCTACCTTTATTTGGAGATCAAGAACGATTCTACCTGTCTGTCTGTCTTATTTTTTCCCACGACTTTCACCACACAGAACAGACAGAAAGAGACACAACGAAAGGGGGAACGAAGCATGAGAAAAAGCGGCAAGTTTGTCTCGTGTGATGATACAGTCTACATGTACTGCAAGTTGACGAGAAACACAGGTGAACCCTTTCTCGCAACAAAAAATAAGTCAGCCCCGTTCCACGTTTTTTTTTTTTCTTTTCTTAACATGACACAACGAATCCATCTCTCTCTATCATATAAAAGAGTCAGAGACAGATTATTAGCAATGAATTCATAGCGTCAGAAAAAGCTACCTGTATGTCTAGGATTTCCCAGACAGCCATATATATGGGACACACAAGACAGCTACCAAACTGTTTTGTTGAGCCTGTTACCCGGGGGAGATGTCCCTACTATGTATTTTGTTGAGCCCGTAAACCG